GCCCTGCGCTCCGGCGGCTCCTCTGTACGGCCCTGCTCCTGCAGCCCCTCTGTACGGCCTCCCGCCGTGGGGCGCGGGGAGCCCCGCAGAACCGGGGATTGCTGGCAGCCTGCCTGGAGTCTTGGCTGGAGAGACTGCCGGCAGCTGATGGCGTGGCTTCTGCTGCGGGAAACACGGAGATGAGCTCGTTTTGAGGGCTGGGCATTCCCACTGGAGGAATTTTGTCGAACAATAAATGTGCTCCTTGACCTGATTTTTGCCTAAACAAAGTAGATCTTGAGCATTGTGTCTGCTCAGCACATTCGCACCTGAAGGATGCAGATCAACCCAAAGTTTCAACCTCATGACCACACCTTACACAGCCAGGTGACCACTTGCTTAGTGCCCAGTATGGGACAAGCGTAAGCATGTCTGATTAGAGACTGACGTTCCTGTGATAGGCAGGTAGCCTTTGCGTGGTGAAATGAAACTTCTGCTGTTTGCCTGGTTTTGGTGTGGGTTTTTTTATTTATTTATTTTTTTTACAAAGCTCTGATTAAGCTGTATTGAAAACAACAGCGTCACCACTTATTTGTCAAACTTAGCATGAAAGATGAGAGACTAGCAATTACACCACCCTGTGTTAGTATTACAGATGATTCTTAACCACTTGCACCTCAGAGCTTGTCCCCTCTGTTTGGCTTTCTTGCCCAGTGACAGATGGCTTTAAAAGTGCACCAGCTCAGTCCCATGTGGGTGAGCTTTGTCAAAAGTAAAGAGCACAAGGCTTGTTAGCATGGCTTCTGATGGCTGTTTATCCTGTGGGATTTGATATTCTGTAGTGTTCTGTGGTCTTTTTTCCCTGGTATGTGTTTTCATCACAAAAAAAAGAGTATCTTTAAAATTTTTACAGATCCAGGGAGCTCCATTGGAACAGGCCATATGGTCAGTGGAGGTCTGCAAAGCCATGCGTTTACTTGATGATTAGTTTTAGGAGAATTTGTGCATCTAGGCTTAAAGAACTGGTGTGTTGAATTGTGTGGTACAGTCTGCACTCTATCTCATCTACTCGAGGCTTTCTTCCTGCAGTTCCCTTGGATTTTACTGAAGCTTCCTGCAGGGGTCAGCAAACCCATCTGCCAAAACAGATCACATCATGTAAATAGACTGAATGGGTTTCATCAAAAGCCTAAGTGAAGTGGCTGCATATAACATTTGTGTAAATGCCCAGAGCTCTACAGCAGCAAGTGGATGAATGGGTTGAGACAGCAGAACATTGTGTTTGCAAATCATATCAATTTAAATTTTATTACATACATCTACATACATTGATTTTTATTAAATAAACCTTTGAAGGTAGAGTACCTGGATTACTGAAATACTGACATTTAATTTAATATGAAAGTGTGATCTGAAAGGAAACATTTGCCCGTAATGAGGGGAAGAGTTATTTGAAATGTAGTTTATTGTATCCAAATGGTAAATAGTTTCCGTTTAATGTATAGTTTAATTCATTTTCCATGAACTTGTGTGATTACATAAAACCTTTACTATTGTTTCCCTTTTTACAGGAAAAGTCATCTCGCTTGTCAGCAGCTTTATTTGGTGAGGACTGCGAAATCAGCTGTGACCAGCTGTATGAGTTGTTAAAGTATGCAGCTTTGGGAAAATGCCACAATGCAACACAACCCAGGTATAACACGTTCGTGTTGGGGAATCAACTCTGTCTTATTTCCTTATGTGTTGTGAAAACATACTTAAAGGCATATTGGCCATGCTGGTTGTGGAATCCTTGCAATGCAGTTACCGTAATGACGGCCTGTGTTATGTAGATACAGTTGTTGTTAGACTTGGCCAGAGACCAGAATTCCTCTTCTGACAAAAGCTCTACAATTTCCTAGTTCTGTTTCATGCATTTATCAGAAACGAAACGATTTTGTGGAACCGGAGAAGTTTCACACCCTGAGAAACGAAATACCATGTTAAAAATATTAACACAAAAAATATTAATAGGTTTCATGTGAGATATAGTTGAAACAGAATGTTCTAGAGTGTGTTTTAGGAAAAATGTTCTGATCCCTTTTCCCTTTTTCAGGGCAACTCCTCAGCAATAGAAGAGAAAGGCCGAGGAGGGTATATAACCTCAGATGGCAAAAGTATAGTGAAATTTTGAAATGAAACTCAAGGCAAAAAATGATCCCACTTGAGATTTTTAGTAGTGAATAGAAAATTATTTTATGAAACTTTTTTTTATGCATGAATTCACTAGACTGCATCACTACAGCTGAAGTTACTCATCTGTATACACATTCTGATGCATATAAATGAAGTATAAATATCTTGAAATGGTCCAGCAGCAGAAGTTTGCTATAACTCATTCTTCCTCTGTCTCCCATATTATGTTGCTTCCAGGAATATGTGGCTGTTTGAGTTAAGCTATAAAGCCTCTGCTCATTGAAATCATTTGGCACTTTGCCATTCACTGACTTAAAAGCTGGGTTGGTTCCAAGTTTGTTTTTAAGACTGCTGGATAATTGTTTTGCTTTGATTTTTTTTTTTTTTTTTCTTCGCTGCAGCTGGTGCCGTATTTATCAGCAGAGCCACCTGGCTGGGGTTGTGGTTGTTGTTCTACATGAAATGAGCCAACTTCATTTCTACAAATTCTATTTGCAGTTCAAACACCTCAGAAAAGTGTTCCAGCATGTAAGTCCCCAAACTGTATTGCTGTCTTCTAAACGTCTTCCAGTCCTGAAACCATGTCCTGAGGACTAATCGCTGCAGTGAAATCATTACCTTTTCCAGTAGGAAGTGGCCATCTTTGACTCTCAAAAGTTACTGAGAGGATCTATTTGTAGGCTTTGTCAGCTCAGAACAAAGGCTAAGGCTTTGATATTAGAAGCGAGTTTTCAAGACTTGTCTTTGAAGCCTTACCAGGTGGAACATGTATTAATGTTTCAGTCCTCTGACTATTATGCTTCCTGCGTCTTCAGGATGCCAGTGAGATTAAAAATATCTCAGTTAATTTGGAATTTACTCTGAGTGAGTGAGGAGACTCTCAATAGTTGTTCTGTTCCCACTGGTTGAGAAATCTCACCTTTACTATTAGCACTTTATGACAAGTTTCTTCCATTTCTCAAAATGATTATTGAAATAATTAGTTTAATTTTCTGAGTTACAAGCAACATTTTTAAAGGAAGAAAGAAGGAAGCACTTCTATTCAGACTTCTAGAGAATTTTCCTTGAACTACAGCAAATGCAAATCACAACTTAACTGGAAAGCCTGGAACTTGCTTTAGTTTCTGTCAAAGAAAGTCTTGAGATTTGCCTTCATGATCGTATCAGGCAAGGCAAATCTGTCGCTTAGTACAAAGAATCCTGTTTTGTTTGGTTGGTTTGGTTTGTGTTGGTTTTTTTTTTTCCTTGGGAAAACAAAACATATTTCCACTACTTCTTCATCCATCCTCTAAATTTGGCTGGTTCGCGGATGAAGAAGCATCTGATTTGCTTGATATTTCTGCTTCTATTTCAAACTCTCTTAACACGTCTGTTTTTTCAGAGATTCACATTAACACCTTCCACCAACTTCCTAGCCAGCCTGTATGGCGGAGCAAACCTGAAACCTGAAAACACTGCACAAGGTATCATGCTTGCTTTTGTATCGTCTCTTTCAGCCACAGTGATTCACTTTCAACAGTAATTTAAGACTTTGCATCCTGTGCAGTCCCAGCATGCTGCTCTGGTAAACTTCTTTACAAAGAAAAACGTACAATGGCTTAAACAATGAGAGTAGTTACCCTAACTAGTTTAGTAACTCTCTGTTGGGCTTATTGTCACCAGTAAATGCAAAAAGCAGAGAGAAAGTTTTTAACATGTTTACAGAATCACAGAATCACAGAATCACAGAATAGTAGGGGTTGGAAGGGACCTCTGTGGGTCATCTAGTCCAACCCCCCCGCCGAAGCAGGGTCACCTACAGCAGGCTGCACAGGACCTTGTCCAGGCGGGTCTTGAATATCTCCAGAGAAGGAGACTCCACAACCTCCCTGGGCAGCCTGTTCCAGTGCTCCGTCACCCTCAGAGGGAAGAAGTTCCTCCTCATGTTCAGACGGAACTTCCTGTGCCTCAGTTTGTGCCCATTGCCCCTTGTCCTGTCACTGGGCACCACTGAAAAGAGCTTGGAAATTTAATCCAAATTTCTGATGCTTTGTTGCCCATTTTGTGATTATTTTATTCTAAGATGCATCTAATAAAAGATACAGAGATATAAATTAGATTCAAGCTAAGTAGTTACTAATTTCTTCTTAGTTTTCTGTTATACTGAGCAGCAAATCAAAGTAAAGAATGGATGTGTTGACAGCTGATTTCCTATTTTTACACTCTTTATAGAGGTGATTGTAATCCAACAGGCTTGTAACAAACCCTGCAAGAGACTACAATGCGAACTTCACTGAAATGGTTAGAAGTGTCACAAAGACTCTTGAATTCAAGTCCCAAAGGGGAGAATGAACAGCTGTTACTTTCAATGTATTGACAAAGTCCTCTAGCATCCTGACTGTAAACATACTGCCCAGTCACAGATCTGAGATGTCAGGTATATTTTTCTTTTAAGTGCAATCTGCAGAGAATCACCTACAGGATAATTAAACTTTATACAGCTGTGGATTCTGGTGTCAGTTCAGCGCTTGCTTCTTTGTGAGCCACACTTAGAGCACATTTTCTCCTGATGATAGTTGCAGTAAAGAATTTCACAGAGAGGGCAGAAAGGAAGAGAGAACTTCCTCTACAGCTTACATGAAGTAACAGGTGATTATGTTGTCATGCTTACGAGGCAAGGTTGTTCTCTCTATTTCTGAAAGGAGTGTGAGACAGAGGCTTGTGATGGGACTTGCTTCTGCATCAGCCAGCAGTGTCAGTAGCTGAACTGGGAGTAAAATTCAAATATCCTGAATATCAAGTATATATTTTATATACATATATAGTATATACACTATATATATTATCGTGTGTACATAATTATATATATAATGTATATGTTGTGTATATATATTCACACAACAAATGAGATATAAACTGGAGATATGTGTATAAAAACTAGAGAGAGATGTATATATAAAAGAAACTGGAGATAGGTAGACAGACAGACAGACGGAGATATCTGTCTCTCTGTCTCTCCAGTTTATTGTTCCAGGTAGTGGTTTCCTTTGAAATGGTGTAGTCTCTTAGTGTGTATACTAATGCAGAAAACCAACTGCAGGCAGAGTGTGCTATCTGAGCTTGACAGGTGCTTCTGTATTTTACAGGTTTGACTTCTGCTGGCAGTGAACGTGTTCCTAAAAGCTCGGACTTAGAATGTGATCCCATCATTCGGAAATACGGAGAAAAAAAACGAGGCCTTACTAGCTATACTCTAACTTTAGAAGAGCAGAAAAAAAATGACTATCCTATAAAAGGTCAGGTTATGATGGTTTTTGTTTGGTTGTTGTGTTGTGGTTTTGGGGGTTTTTTTTCTAAATTTTGACAGTTAGTGGTATGTTTGGTCATGTAAGATACATCATGAGTTTTAGAAGAGAGAAGTCTGTTTCTTATTCATGGGTTTCTTTTCCTTCTAGGCTCCCCAGGGTGTAAGGGCTATATATATACAGAGTGTGATCAGCAGAGGACGGACAGCAGCCCCCTCTTTGGTCTGGATTGTGAAATGGTAAAAACAAATGTGTGTGGCCTTACAAAATACAGTCAAGGGACCAAACTCCTACCAGCTATTCCAAAGTGAGCCAAACACCCTGTGTATTTGCTAAACTACTTCTGATATTTTAATATCTGCTGCCAGTCCCTTCCCTGATGGTATCGGTGCTAATGCAGCCGTGGGAAGGACTCAGATGGGGTTCCAGCAACAAGACAGAAATGTTGTCTTGAGCAGTGCAGCAGAGAGCTCAGTCCGGCGTTGGCTGTCAGAGCAGCAGCTGGATCTGCCAGGCCCATCAGCAATGCTGCAGTAACCCTTGAGACTGCTGTGGAATTCCTCTTCCCAGCCATCCCCAAGATTTGGGAGAGGAAAGAGACTTGCCTATCATGCAGCTTTCCTTTGGCCATCACAGTTCTTCTGGCAGCATGCTGTGGTGAAGATTCCTCCTTTAGTGCAGTTTTGACCTTGCAGAGGTGCCTATTTGGCATCAGCATTGAGTAGCTAACGATACAACCTGGGGTCTGCTTTTAAATTGTGCATCTTCTCTGGTGAAGATGCTCTCAGTGACAGCTCTGCAGTGCAGAGCACAGGCTGATTCTGTGAAAGCAGCACTTCTTTGTAATGGTTTTCTTTGTGTTGTGCTTGCCTGTGTGTTTGCTGTGCTTATGGTGGGCATTTAACAAAATGAGGCATGCTACAGTATAAAACAACTAGCTGTGAGCAGTAGATCTCAAAGCTGAATAACTCCTTAGTAGTGATACTAGCTGCAACCAAAACAGATGTTAGCTAAGGTTTTTGAGTGACAGCATCATGCTGATTCAACCACTGCCTCTGTTTCTTCCTGACAGTGCTTGACTGCAAAAGGGAGCGAAGTCACTCGTGTCTCTTTGGTGGACGCACAGGGTCAGTGCCTCTTGAATGAACTAGTCAAACCTGAAGGCGTAATAGTGAACTACTGCACCAGGTGACTTGCACAGAAGTTTCTTATCTCTTCATCGTTAAGAGCTGCAGCCCTTTCAAATTAAACCTGTTACACAGGACCTTTTAGAAGGCTTTGGTTTGCACAGATGTCTACTGCATTTTACTCAGTGTT